TTAACACGGCACGATATTAAATAACCATTCAACATATCGGTTGTTCTAATAAAACCCGCTTTTAACAATCACTCTATTTCTTTCTTTACCTCAAGCAATACATTAGGGGCAAAATGCCTAGGAGGTTGTTTATGAGGTTTAAAATTTGGCTTAATTGGTAACCTATGTTCTACCAAACTTTTGTCTGAACCAGACATGTGTTCATATTCCCAAGCAAAGCAATCATTGTATTCCTTTAATAAAGCGGTTAATTTATTACTTACCTCCTAACTAAGCATCTAACTGACAAACATTGGTCGATCTTCCCCTTCGTCGCCAATATTCACATTTATCAAAGGGTCTTGTACTTGAGCATGCCTCGACTTTTTGATCCTTATTACTTTATCGTCTAGGTTCCTTGTAGGCACTTCCTCTTCTAAAAAAATCCACTTTGTTTACTTCTTAGCCAATATTCTACTCCAATTCGAACACTACTACTTTGTTTCTCAACATCTTTAATGTCGCTTCTTCTTTTGTCTTCTTTTTACATTCCTTATTGAAAGTCATTAATTTGGCTTTGAAGGCTTGAATATCAACCATATTTTCTTGTTGCTGACAACTCATTTAGAGTTCCTTAATTATCTTTTTGCCAATTACTAGCTCTTCAAGGGCTACTATATTTGGCCTCATTTGATTGAACATTTCAGTAAGTACATCTACTGAAAATAGCTCTTCACTCTGTGCGACAATTTGAGTCTCATCCCCATCTTGAATTACCTTGACGGGTCCATAATTTCCTTCGTACATGAACCTTTCTACCGAGTTTGCTTCTGTGACAAAGGGTCTATGATCTGCTTGCACAACTTCTGCTTCCCTTTGTCGTTCCAGAAAACCAAGCATTGGTAGATCGATGAAGGTATGCAACGACTCCCATGAATCCAATCCCTTCTTAGTAGTACATTGTAACTAGTAGGACCATCTATTACAAAGAAGATTGTGGTCCTAGTAGTTGTTCCCACAGTTATGTCCAGTGGCATCACCCCTTTAGCTGAAGTTGCTCCCCCATTGAAACTTGTAAGAATAACTTCTGTTGGGATCATATCGCTTTCTGTCTTTGCAAATTTTCTTATCANCCTATAGTGGGAGGTAATATTCTTGGAGGTGACCCATATTTCTCAAAGCGAGGTACTCTCACCTTTCTCTTGGGTGTCCCATACAATACATAGTAGTCAAAAGAACGCCCAGATGGTTCGTCCAATAAATCTACCTCGTGGACACCTTTCTGATATAGTTGTTTTAATAAATTGTTGCATGACACTCCTCTTCTTTTTCTCTTTGCTTCTAAGTCAACTTCCTCTTCAATGTCAGTCATGCCGTGGTCTTCTTCTTCTTCATCATATACCTCTTGAGATGTTCGGCCTTCTTCACATTCCAGCACACGAGCTTCTTCCTCATTATCCTCAATTTCCTCTTCTTCATTTTCCTTACTTTTGAATTCATTGGCTAGTAAATAATTATTAGCCATAACAGGAGGTAATGTACAAATTGAATAGTGAGGGGTCGCTCTGGATCTTCTTCATCTTTCTTCCCACAGTCAAATTTTGATCTCTCATAAAAAACTTTCTAGAAAGTCTTCCATTGATTCGCCTATACCAGCCTCTTTATTATACTTAAGAACATAGCCACCTTAAGCAATTTAGGTACCTTAAGACGTGATGATCCCTGCTGTTGCCTCATCATTCATCCATAGTTCCGTTGAAAATGTATTTGTTGGGTTCTGGTCATTTCGTTGAAGGGTACAACCCTTCATGCATTATACTGGAATGAATGTCATACATTTGGTTGACAAGGTTGCGGCCTGAATGTTCTTCCATTATTTATCGGTCTGAACTGCCTCTCAAAAGGCGGTTCCCCATAGAATGACATATTCCGTCCTCCACCGGGCTGGAAATTTGGGACAACATCGGGCGATGGTGATATCGCCACATTCCCGGTCTTTCCATATTTGCATTCACTTCTACCTTGCATCTAGTACACAAAATGTCTTCGTCTTCTCTAGGCTCTTTTCCTTTGATACGTTCAAAAACACTGGGATGTGACTCAGAATCTTCTTTTCCATCATCTACGACCAACTTGAATCTTGGCAACTTATTTTTGAAACTAGTTGTCACCATGTTTGCCCCAGTGGCTGTGGGAAATGATTTTCATCCACTGCCATTTTCTTCTTAGCTTCAAATGTGATTCACCCCGACTTAATCGCATCATGTAACACATAACGGAAAATCAGACAATTATTAGTCATATGTGACCATGTATTATGTCATTTACAATATTTTTTACCCTTAACTTGTTCAGGGTCTGGTAATTTATGCTTGTCCTCAGTTTTATCTGCTTATCCTTATACAATTTATCGAATATAAGGTCAACTTTGGTCACATCAATTGAAAATATCCTAGCCTTTATGTTTTCATTTTTACTGGCTCATCCTTACCCGATGTTCTAAATTTGGCCATTATAGGACAAGCATGCGTATTTCCCTTAATCAATTCGGCCAGACATACTTCTGTCTGATCATAGTATTCACCATTAACAGCACGAACATCGAAGTTTGGGTCTCTATAATAAGTCCATTTGCCAGAGTTTTTCATTTGTTCTTCTTCTCTTATCAAACGTTTATATCTAATTACGTTAGCACTCAATTGGAAAAGGTCTGCAAATTCACTGCCTTGGAATTTTTTTTTTTAAAATCAAAACTCAAGTAACTTTGAGCGATTTTGATAAATTCTTTTTCGGGTAGAGCTACAAAACATTTGCTCATAGCTGTCTTAAACCTTTGAAGGAAACTTTCTACCAATTCGTTTGTCATTTGACGTAAATTCGCCAAAGTAACTTCAGATTCAGTTTTGTAAAACTGAGCGTGGAACAATTGTTCTAGTTGTTGCCATGTTTGGACAGAGTTTACTGGCAAATTAATGAATCATGAGAAAGCTACTCTATTAACGAACTAGGGAATATTCTCATTTTATGATAATCAGTTATTTCACAACTTTGTAGTGTGAATCGCCCTATATGTTACAGAGTATAAACTTCTTCAAGACCGGTAAATAGTGAAAATTCTGGTACTTTGTACCCACTAGGCGACGGATACGCCTGATCTAAAAAAATTTGATCATGTACTATCTCCATAATTTGATTCCTCAACATAACGTTGGGATCATATGGAACTCGTATGAGTTGATTTATTGGTGGAATTACTTGAGGCCTAACATTTGGTCATTGGTTTGTGGTAAAAGCATTCTTATTTAAAGCATTATTACCATTAACACGCGGGGTCTTCTGTTCGTTGGCTTGGATATTGTCTCTTGCATTTAGGTTACCCCCCAGGTTTGATATTCCATTATCACTATTCAAATTTACCATTCCACTACCCCCTGGTTTGAAGTAGATGGGCCAAAAGGTGGTTCTACCCCTTGATTCGCTCCTAAGACTGGGGAATTATGTCCCATAATCGTCCTGGCTTGAAAGTGGTTCCCTATACTTGGCATAACTGGTTGACAGATTTGGCCTACTAACTTATTCATGATTTCATTCAAAGTGTTCAGTTGTTTGACCATGTTGTCATAGTGTACATTTTCATTTTGAGCAAACATTTCCATGTTATGAACATTCTGTAAATTTGTCTGTTCAACGACATCTTGTATGAGTTCCCCAAGCAACGCACGCATAGTTCGAGGACTCAATTCTGTCATTGGCTTGTAAAGACTTTGACTCTGTCCTTCTGTTCATGAAGCACTTTGCCGCTCTTTATATCATTCGATTACAGACTGTACTATTCGTTGGCTTTATGGCTCCTTGTCAGGATTTTTATGAGGCATATTGCTTTCACTTTCCGTTTCTTCAAACTCCAATGGTCTTACCGGGTGTGCCAAATTGTTTCGCGTGGAAATCGAGCATCGCTAACAATTAAAAGATTGTTCAGACGATTATGTAAGGAACAATAATCTCTCGAGACAAAGTCCCAACGAAAAGTGTTTTATTTATGAAGATTACAATATGGACGAACCGAAATGCCTCCAAGGGGCACAAACACACAAAGTAATTGAAGATTAACAAGAAGAAAAGAAATAAAATTACATAATTTTCTGTTTAAGAGTCGTTTTTATCTTCTTTTTTTTTTTTTTTTGCTCCTAAATTCTTCTTTCTCTTTTATACTCCTTTGACAGATATCTTTGTAGAACTGTTTGAAAATCGCTTCTCTTTCTGTAACTACCCACATTCTCCATAATAGATGACTTGTCAGGAACCTACCATTTTCAACCGCTGCCATTACTCCCATCACTTAACTCCTTGCAACCGAGATTCTTAGATCATGGAATGTGATAAGATTACTCATTAATTGTTTCAATAATCGTTGCTCCAAATAGTAACCCAAACACTATATTCGCCCAGATCTTGGCCGTCTTATAGGCTTGAGCGAGGATGAGCTTCCATTACATAACTCCGTCTTGGATTTTTATATGATCTCGTTTGGGTCGATCTTTCGAATTTCCTAACTGGGCTTCGTTTTTTGGACCATATAATTGGGCCTCATTTTTTGTATGTCAACAAATAGATTCACCACTTTCTTGAACATTGCATCTACAGTTAGCAAAATTCTTCGACTTTACTTCAAACTGCTCGAATGTATAAACGTCCCCACTCATCCAAACTTGCTTTTGAGCTCCGGATACATGACCTCCCACCCCCTTCACCCTTTAGTTCAGTTTTTACTCCAAGGCAACAAATGGAGAAATATGTAAAGTACCAGCCGGAAGATATTGAAACGAATATAGACGAACTATTTGATGGAAATGCAGTTCCAACGGGAAGGCTGAGAATATAAATATATAACCATGGCAATAAATAGTTGCCCTGCTATGTGTTTGCTTATAATTTTTATTTCTTGAGATTTAGTATTAATTGAACTCAAATTTTGGTTTATGTAAATAGTAAGTTTGGTAAAGGGAGAGGCTGTGATGGCGATGGCGACGATGATGGTGGTGGTGGCGGTGGCGGTGGCCTGTGGTGGGCCATTTTGGGAGGGTGGTGACTGGTTTTTGGTTTTGATTTGGGGGTGGGGGTAGAGATGTGTTGTAATAAATGAAATGTTTGGGAGAAGTTTATTAGTATTTCAAATGTTTGGACTTTTTATTGCAATTAGTTCTTCTTCTTTTTTGCTTTTCTTTTTATTTTATTTAAATAGAAGGGTATATTTATCATTTCATAACTTTCAATTAAAAAATTGAACGAAAATAATGATTTTCGCAATGAAAGGTGTAAATATGGGTGAAAATACAAAAAAAAAAAAAAAGAAGGAAAGAAATGTATGAACGTTTTGCACAATAAACTCCAAACATAAGACTTTTTGTGTGCTAATAACCATTTTTATCTAGAACAAACCCGAGCTTTCTGTTGAATAAAAGATCTAATACTTATGTCTAATTTACAAAGTTAGATTTTGTTTTTGTAAATTTACGAATGTGCAAAAATCTAAAGTGAGACGTTTGCTTGAGATTTGGATTTTCAAATGTTTTATGGGAACTATTTTTGTAACGATAGTAAAAGGTTGAATATCAATTTGTTACTCCGACAATAGATGGTGGACTAACTGTGCAATTGTCCCCTTTGACAAATTTGTAATCAAATCTGTTGCTCCGAAACAGAATCCAGCTTCTGAAAATGGCGGGTGCCACCATTGGAATGCTCTCGTTAACATCACTCCACTCCGGAAACAGATTTCTCAATAAATATTCTTCGACTCCGCATCTCTATTGCTCATCATTCCTTCCCAATTTTCTCTCACCTTTCCCTCAACCGTCACACACATTCAATCGACAGAATTTCATCGGCGATCGGCACTGTTGCATCGGCGACAAAGATGGGTTCTCCATTCAAGCCAGAGGAAGCTAGAATCCCTCCTGCTATTCCATTGGCCAACCCTCCAATTTCCAAGGCAAGTAAACAATCTTATTCCTTGATAGCGTGCACATCTAAAATTGTGTGATTTGTTATTTCGTGAAGATTTAAGCTTAAATGTGTAATTGAGTTGGGGTTTTTTTGCCACACTTGGGTTCCAGCATTCAATTTTCTTGGCACTTTTGTCGTCCTTATATAGATTGCATCCTAGAAGTCACCTAGAATTTCACTGGTAACTAGTAAGAAGTATGGCAATTCTTCTAAATCCGACAACTAACTAGGTCTTGTTCCCATTTAAGATGACTAGACTGTATATCATGAAGATAGAAATGCTTATGGTTCAAAGATAGAGTCATAGTGAGATTTAGCTAAGTTAATATGAAGACTTTTTGCTCATTAATAGTTGAGTAGCTTGATGGTTTCTGAATGAGGTGCAGACTGATGAAGTGGCAATTGTGTGTTGACCAAAAGAATTGCTGGAAACATGATGAATTTTTTTCAGAAATGAAGGTACTACTGGAGGAGTATAGAGATAGTTTTTGAGGAGTTACCAAGTGGGTTGCCTCCAAAATGAAGCATTCAAAATCTACTCATCTAGCATTACAAGAAAGCCTACCAAATATAGTATGTATATAATGTCCAAAGAAAATGAAGAACTCCAAAGACAAGTATAAGGTAGGCCCTTTGAGTTTGAGCACTTTTGACAACCAAAAAAGAGGGTATGTGGAGGATGTGCGTCGACAACTGAAGATCAACAAGATAATGATACCCTGTTGTTTTCCAATCCCAAGATTGGATTACTGAAATCTTATATGGAGGTAACATATTTTTCAAAATTGATAATCACCGACAAATTAGAATTGGCAATGCCATTTGGTTTATTCGGTAGTCCCAACACCTTCATATATTTGATAATTCATGCTTGAGATCCTTTTATTGGAAAAAAAATTGGTAATGTATTTCAATGATATACAAAGTAGCAATCATTCTAAAGAGACTCATTTGCTACACCTAAAGTAAGTTTTCTGAAAGATGCAAGATTTTAGTTATGTAGAGAGAACTTTCATCTTCTGTTATATTAAAATTTAGATGTATTAGCCTATTTATAGGCTAAAAATACAGGCTGCAAAACAAGTTTCTAAATCTAAGTCACTATAAAAGGAAAAGGTATCTGTCTACAATTAGAAGATATTATCTACACAATCACATCCTATCCTATTCTCCATGAGTAAGCTACACAATATCAGGGATTTACACTCAAGAAATCAATGTTTAAAATCAGGTACAAATCCCATTAAAATTCTGGGGATTTTCCACATGTTGAGGGTTCTTGAAAAGGAAAAGCTATATGCCAACTTGAAGAAGTGCATGCTTATTACAGAGTCTATGTAATTTTGAGCTATGTAACTATTTTTGAGGGAATTGAAGTTGATGATAACAGATTTAAATTAGAAGCTGGCTAATATCCAAGACAGTGGGGAAGTTTGAAGTGTTTCATGGTTTAATTTCATTCTGCAAGCAGGTTACCAAGAATTTCACTATAATAATTTCTCCTGTAAACGATGGCAAAGGGAAGATAAACTTCAATGGACTAAAGAACGTAAAAGAAGTTTTAGAAAGTCAAGCAGCCATGAACTTCACTTGTTTAACTGCTGCCAGAGTTTTAGTAACGCTTTAAAGTTTAGTGTGATGCCTCCAAAATTGGAATATGGGCTGTTCAAAAAGAAGTAATGCAAATTCATTGTTGCGTGAGAAATTAAATGATACAGAACTTTGGGAGTACGGACATTTGAATATTAGTAACATATTTCATGAGACTGAATAGATAACCTTCTAAAGAGAGGTTAATGTCCCCTTGATCATTTTCAGTAATTGGAAACATTTGATAGCTAAATAATAATGTTTGTGATCGTATCACAAATAGACGATTTCATTAAAGAAAAATGTGACTTAAAGATAAAGATATTAAGTGAAGGGATAAAACAGTTATTTTATGCACAAATTCAGTTATGGACATTCAGAAGATAGATTGTCAAGCCTGTTAATCCTAGGGCTTATCTATACTAATTGCTTATTATTTTCGCAAGCTTCTATAGCTAGTTTGTATGTAATACAAGAGCATAATATTAGGTATTTAGCAGACTGATATGCCCTAAGATTTCTATGCTACTGGTGAAGCTCTTAAACTTTATTGCATCAAGAATATAATGTATATCCATAGATCATGGATCTTAATTATTTCAATAGCTAATAGAAGTTAAGCAGCAGATTTGCACATCAGCGCACATTCTTAAGAGAACGGTTGAACTTTGTGAGAAAACACAAATCTAACACTCGTATCAAGTTACAAGATGCACTCAATATAAGGACTATGCTACTAACTAGTGCACAACCGAACAACTGTCAATATCAAAGGCTTTGATTCAATTTAAGGAGTTATATCCTTCACACCGCTTTCTTTGGTTTAATATGGAAGGATTGCTCTAATTGTCTGGAACACAAATATATGATACACAGTGATTTCTTATTTCTAGGAAATCAACTTCAAGTTCCAAAATTGTTCATTGAAATTAATTTATTCAAGATATATATGGTGGAAGATTAGATGGGCGCTTGGCAAGATGCAACTCATGCATTGATTGAACAAAATGGGTATAATTTCATCAAAAGATATTGAATATGCCACGAATTTAAAGATCAAGTGCATTTCTACTCATCCCTGCCATCACCACCAACTCCCTGGGAGGATGTAGGCATGGACTTTGTGATGGGCTGCTCAGAAGCCAACAACGAAAGGTTAAAGATGGTCTATTTTATTTGTTGCAAAGGGACAACAAGTGCTCCAAACAATAAAGTGTTTCTTATCATCCCAAAATAATTGGGCAACCTCAAGTTATGAACAGAAGCTTCGTCAATATTCTAAGATGCATGGCGGGAGACACTCATAAACAATAGGAAGTTGTTAAGGCACAAGAACAATTTGTGTGTGGTCATTCAATGATTTGAACTTCATGCATAAGCCCTTTTGAAATTGTTTATACAAGACAACCTGCACATATCATTGACTTTGTTGGAAGTGGGAAAAAGTCATGAAGAGGTGAAATGGTACCAGCAAAAATGAAGAAATCAAGGTGAACTTGAGGGATTGGATACCAAGTCAAAGAAATATTGAAACCAAAAGTGAGGAACTAAGTAATCAAAGGAGGCATGGCGATGGTTTACCTATTAAGGAAATATTTTTAGTGGCTCTTAATCTAAACTAAATATAATGAAGATTGAGCCTCGAACATTTAAAAGTAAAATGGAAAAATTGCCAATCAAGTTGCCTTGTTGAAGCATATGGGGATTAACTCAACATTTAGTGTCTCCTATCTGTACCAAACAACAGGGACAAAGTGAAAGAAGAACAAGATGCTGAACTAGAAGACAAGTTTCTTCAAGGGAAGGGAATGATACACCAAACAAACAACATTTAATAAAATCTTGAATATTGAACTGGTTTGGTCAAGGGAACTCTTGAGATAATGTAGCCACTGAAGAGCATTAAAGAGAACCTCTTAGTGCTTGTCTGGTAGTAATTTTAAGTGTTTATAAGCAAGTCAAACATCTTTTTTAAGCACACGTTACTTAGGACTCACGACTTTTATCTACTTGTTAATGAAACATTCCTTGGGGAGTCCCACTTTTTGTAAGCTCTTAAAAGCTTAGCCAAGCAAGCACTTAATAGCCAGTTTACCAAATAGATTTGACCATATATAAACTTGAAAAGCATCATTAAGTGTGTGATAGAAATAGGTAATAAATCATGAAGTATGGCCCTATATCATAAATTTAGCCAGATTATTTTTTAAATTGATTTTACTGCAGAAATATAATCCAAAAATTGTCTTGTAACTTCCCGTTGAAGGTATTCTTGATTTTTTTCCCTTAAGAAATTTCGGTTCCAATGGTGCATAATAATTTTATCTCCTGGTCTGTTTATAATTCAGTTTGCATCAAAGATTTGGGTCTCGTAATCTTTTGGGCATGTCAACCAATTTGAAATTAGAAGTGAAAATCTGCATTTGTTTTAGGTCAGCCACGGCATTACATTTTAATGGTTCCTTCCATATGATTCAGTTCAAGATTGCGCTTTGCCAGTTGTCTGTGACTTCTGACAAGGAGAGAAACATTGCTCATGCTTGGGAAAAAATTGAGGAGGCTGCAGGAAAGGGTGCTCAACTTATTCTTCTTCCTGTATGCAAGTAGGATCTTACTAATTTTTTTTTCCTCTTTACTTTTTTTATATTGTTTGTGCCTCTGTGATTCTATTATCATTTGTGCATGTTGTGTGATATTTATTTCTACATTAATCATGTTCAAGAGATGATATTCATTTAACTGATTTCTGGGGAGACTAGCTTCTCATCAGCACCACAAATTCTCATATATGATTTTTTATGGTTCACTGTATTTCTTGTGAATCGTTATGTCATATACAAAATTGACACAATAATCTCCCTTATGTTAGGAAATATGGAATAGTCCATATTCAAATGATAGTTTCCCAGTATATAGTGAGGAAATTGATGCTGATAAATCTCCTTCAACTGCAATGCTGTCTGAACTTTCCCGGAGAAATATCACAATAATTGGTGGGTCCATACCAGAACGTAGTGGTGATAGGTTGTATAACACCTGCTGCATCTTTGGTACAGATGGAAAACTTAGGGCTAAGCACAGGAAGGTTGTTCTTTTCCTTCTCTTACACTGTCTTCGGTATAACAGCTGTTAGTGTGATACCAAACATATATTATCCGTTCAGAAATTCTCAAATGAACTACTTGGATATGCATATATGAACCAGTCGTTTAATGATTTATTCCATTTTACAGATTCATCTCTTTGACATTGATATACCGGGCCAAATGGCGTTTAAAGAATCAAAGACTCATGCAGCAGGGGAGATCCCAACCATCGTGGACACAGGTTTTACAAGCCTTCTCTTCCTCTGATGCCATGATAAAACTAATATAGACTAAAGATCTTCGTACAAATGTCAAAGACAGCTGTATTGCTCATTTATATGATATTTTTCGAAGTGGAGGATAATATAGCAGTTTGCTAAATATTTGAAGAGATTTAAGTTGAAGAACTAAATCATATTTCCCTTAAGGATTTTTCAGATTTTCTGTACTTGAGAAATTTATGTTGGATATCTCTCTAAAGATTTTGAACCTCTTTCAGAGCTGGGCTTTGAATTGAACTTTCTGAAATTTGTAATACCCTGTTTTCATTTTAGATGCTCTTTCCTTTTCAGAATGTCTTGCTATTATGCCCGCTTTCCTTCAATGAAATCATTTCTAGATTGTTTTTCTATCAAACTACACTCACTAAATAATTTTTTTCAAATTTCCAACTCAGTGCCGACATAAGCCCCCTACATCACTAAGTTTTACATTGGGAAAATTGGGGACAATGAGGAAATTAGACATATGCCGTATCAAATTTGGATATCGAATTTGAGATCGAGGGAGTATTTTTTAAACATTCATAGAGATGTTGCTTTGTTGCTGCTTATAGTTTATTTTTCTCTTTTTGGCAAATGACCACCATTATGGAGGAGAAACTACAGAATATAGAAATCAACTAAGAATCATATTCTTCACTTCTATTTCTTTGGCAGCTCATTGCTAGTCTTGTACTTTCTCTACCTGAGATCAAATGAGGTTCAAACACGTGATTTTTTTCAATCATTTAGGTTTTTATGTGAAATCATTTTTTTGTCTGCATTCAATTATTTTAATGACTGAGACTATGTACACAGATGTTGGACGTATTGGTATAGGCATATGCTATGACATTCGATTTCAAGAACTAGCAGCAATATATGCTGCTAGAGGTATGGTTTATTTAATTTTCTGGAATTAGTAATCATCTTTTGTAGTCCATCTATTCAGATTTTTTGGTAATTTTGGGTTTTTGTTCATTTTACTAACTATCACAATTCCGTGTCAGTACGACCTTTGATATTATGCTGAGCCAGAATGTTTGTAACGCCCAAAAATTTCATATATCTTGAGGTGTTACCAAACATAATTTCATTTACTTAAAATGCGGAACATTAAAAATTCTATTTTTCTAAATAAACAAATATTCATAAATTTAAATTGGAATCATAAATCATGTCTTTAAAACAACTTAAACATTCTCAAACAACTAATAAATTTAAAAAGCGGTAAAACTTAATATTCTCGTAGCGTGAAATCCTTTGGCAATTCGCATCACCTTCCCGCCACAGCTCCAATCGACCCTAACTAGCCTGTAAAAATTGTAAGCGTTAGTAATTTGAAAACACTCAGTAAGATACGTGCAGTTTCCATTATACAATTATTTGCAATAAAATAACACTTCATACCACTCTTCTCTTATGGAGTATCTTGGTGACCAAGCGAAACACCCATCTAGATCATCTTAGATTCCCGAAGGATCTCTTATCTCTTTCTAAAGAACCCGAAGGCCCATGGCAATTCATGCATAAATTACTGAACATAAAAGTATAAGGAAATAAACTACTTTGCACAAAGTACCTTACTTGGATAGATGTATCAAAATTTTGAAGAAAATAGGGTTGCACGTGCCAAGTCCCCTTTTTTTTTT